GTAGTAGTAGTAGTAGTAGTAAATGGAGGTCATGACGATGATGATGATTGTGACCAGAACGACAGTGCGACAGTGCTCATGATGTTGCTGCCCAGTTTGAGCGTCGCTATTTTTGCTGACGACAATGAACACATGTGACTGCGAGAGCTAGTCGTGCTCGTAGCCGTCGTCGCACTACAACACGGCTATGAGTATGACTGCCCTGAACCTATGCCGCGATGCTGCAAGAGCCTGCATCTCATTGCTGGTGATTTGTTGGTAGTGTTGCTGCCTGCATAAGCCCATGCTTCCACCTAAACCCTAAACACGAAACCCTAAACCCTAAACCCTAAACACGAAACCCTGAACATCATCTTAACCCAGGGGTCCTTGCCCACGGCAATCTGCTGCACATGCGCAAGCACGGCATCAACTCCGGCACTGGTCGCCAGGATCTGCTTGCCATTGACCTCGACATCGAAGTATCCCCCCCCAAGGCTTCCCCAACGGTTTAGGGTTTAGGGTTTAGGGTTCAGGGTTTAGGGTTTAGGGTTTAGGGTTTAGGGCCTCCAATGCAACTGAAACATAGACCCAAAGAGCGCCAAAATAGGTCGGTCAATGTAGAAGACCGAAAGGTGCTGCAAACATAGAATTGGGATCCAGCAAAGCCGGAACCCAACACTGTGCATCTCATGTCGAAGATTCATCTTCTTCGACCATTGAGGGCGATATCGACGCCTAGGGACACTGCCGAAGGCATCAACGGTATCGACCTCCTCGCCACCCTGCACGCGATCACCTGCACATCTCTACCAGGCAGGGTGTAGGCTTGCTTGCCCCCGGCAAGATGCTGCTATTGGTGCAACCGCCAGCTACCACAGGCTTCGCGGAATCATAGATGGCTAACGCGCCTGGGAACTGAACACTTGCAACATCACCAAAAAGCAAGCTGGCTAGCTACTACAGACGTTCTTCTGATGATGGAGAGCTGGGTTCTCACTGTGGGGGATCCTAAACCCTAAACCCTAAACCCTAAACCCTGGACCCTAAACCCTAAAACCCAAAATTCTCCAGGCCTCGAATGAGGCTGCAGACGGGATCTTCGTGCCAGGTCTTGGGGTCAAAAGCCTCCACATACTCGACGGTGCTGCTGCGAAGCTTCCTTGGGGGAGGACAACAAGATTAAGGGTTTAGGGTTTGAGGGGGTTTTAGGTCTAGGGTTCAGAAGGTTTGGGGTTTAGGGCTTTAGGGTTTAAGGTCTAGGGTTCAGAAAGTTTCGGGTTTAGGGTTGTAGGCTTAGGGCCTAGAAAGTTTAGGGTTTAGAGCTTTAGGGTTGTAGGTTTAGGGTCTAGAAAGTCTAGGGTTTAGGTTTTAGGTTAGGGTGTAGGGTTTGGGTTTTGGGCTTTGGGGAGTCTTTGGAAACGTGCTTAAAATACAGGCTGAGGGAAAGAATCGTCAAACAGGAAGCCGGTCAGGGGCCCCAACTAGGAGTGTGGACGATGAATATACATGATCACAGGTCACCGGGGCTTGCTTGCCACGAGCCTTGGGCTATGGCAGAACTCATAGAACCGTTCACATAGATGACCTTCTGGCTAAAGAAGTCTTCCAAAGCGGAGTTTGGGAAGACGTGAGTTCGACCAACAAGACTTTGAAGCGGAAGCTTGAGGATTAACAGCAGACTGCCGGAATCGGAACGCCTTCGAACACGAAAGCCGAAAGCCGTCGCTTCGAAAGCATCCTTGCACTTGCCGTACAGCGTCTGAACATCCACCGGCGGCTTCTCACCGAAGGCTGCGGTGTAGGAAGAGGAGCCGAAATGATACCGCCTCATTACCAAAGCAGTCCTAGCATATGATAGTACATCATAGTATAGATACTGGTATATCACAGTATGGGTTAGCGCACCACCGAAGACAAGAAAGGCACTATTTCGACTTAGCACTTTGCCGTGAACCCTGAGGCCAAAGTCTGACCACTAAAAGACAGAAGGTGGCGTCGTCGCCTGTCAGAACGAAAAGGCTGAGACTAAATCTCACACCAGACCAACCTACCACGCTCACGGAGAACCACAGAAAGAGATAGCGAGAGAGAGAGACATGGAGAGGCAGAGGCAAGGTGCATGCACACTGAGCCGACGTGTATACAATTACACACCTAACCCACTGTACACGAACAGTGAAAGTAACTTTCCATGATAAGGCAACAAAGGCGAAACGGAAAAAGCAGACACGATGCAGCAACAGTCCCAAGTAATGCACGACCCTGGTGGTTACATACCCAATATCTATGAAGAGACGAATCATCACAACCAGAAGCATGATTGCCAAGAATCACAGCAACAACCTGACTACCAGCAAGTTACTGTCCAGAAACGTCAAGTGGTCATAAATTCTCGCAATGCTGCCAGTCACACTGGTCATGACGGAGACACTGATACTGGTGATCAGACTGGTGAGAAATAGCATGGCAGAAACACTGCAAAACTGTACGCAGCATCAGACTTCGCAGCGCCAAGAACGATCATGACCATGACCGTCCCAACCATACGGATTTCCCTACAGCACTAGCAACAGCTTTATGAATTTGCAAGTGTAGCACCTCTGACAAAAGTGACACGTCCATTCCTCTTCAGTCGACCCCTCTATGAGGACGTTAGGGTCGTGGCTCCTGTTGAAGACTGTTGCGGCATCTATGGCCCGGGCCGTCGATGTGGAAGACCTGTAGACCAGCGTAGGCTCTTGGAGGCTTATGCTTGCGGTTTTGGGCTTTTGGCTTTTTGTGTATATGCTGGCTTGGCTGGTCAGAGACGTGAAATTGAAGCTGGGGAGTATCCACGAACAGACAACGCAGCAATGATGTTGCAAAACATGGTCGCACAAACTCCTACGAAGATGTAAAGATCGTAAGATACTGGTACCATGCATCGTGATCATCATTCAAACCTGAATCCAGCTGCTCCACTCAACTGAAGAGGATTATGACGGGCCGTGCTTACAGATTCAGAGTGGGTCTGATCCCTCTACATATGTATATGTAAATGTGTATATACATGCATATATGTATATATATATATGATGGCTGTAAGTACCATTCTTGCCCTGGGCCTCGGCCATAAACCCTGAACCCATGGGCATGATGGCGAAGAAGATGCGGTGATGATGATGATGATGATGATCACCATCATCATCACCATGATGGCCCTTTGGAGTTACGGGTCACCATGGGTGTAAACAGAAACAAACAGAGCAACGGCAATCACAGGATTCTTCACGCCACAAAGAGTTCATGACACCCCTTCGGTACGCATGCAGAACCCTTATCATGCCCCTATATAGCCCTAAACCCTAAACCCTAAACCCTAAACCCCTTACTGTATGATACCCTTACACAGCCCTTACAAACCACAAGCAACAACTGAAGGGTGCTCATCTGTGCCTCGGGCTCCTGCGGCAGCCGTCACACCAACCCAGGCTTGCCTGTGCCGCGGTGGGGATCCTCAGCCCTGAAACCCCAAACTCAAAGCCGGAAGCCCCAAAGCCCCCTGCCCTTTGAAAGGGATTAAGGGTAAAGGGGTTTGGGGCTTAGACTTTAGGGCTGAACGGCTCAGGGGGCTTTGTTCAAAGCCTGAAGCCCCAAAGCCCCCGAGCCGTTCAACCCTAAAGTCTGAGCCGTTCCGCCCTGCGGGTCGAGGCCATTACGGTTGCGAGATAAGGCTATGTGGGAGTTTCCAAAGATAAGGGGTACCTTATTTTGGAGTCCTTATAATAAGGATCCTACTATTCAAGGTACTATATTAGGGTCCCCTATTTTCGGAATCCTCCATAAGGCTATGCTCAACATTGTGCAAAAACATTGCCTGAAGCGGTCAGGGCTGTTGGATTTGTAAAGGATTTATTCTAGGCCTCAATGTGTGAGCCGTGGGTGACTTAGGCACGGCGAGGGCATCGAAGCTATGTAACAAAAGAGCAGCGATACAGGTCAGAATCACGTCGTGCCATGTCAGATCTTAAACAGAACCAGTCTTCTAACAAAGACCGTTAACAGAACTGGGGCATGACAGCGGCATGTTGATAATGACGATGATGATGATGATGACGATGACGATGACGATGACGATGACGATGACGATGACGATGACGATGATGATGATGATGAGGAGGAGGAGGAGATCGCCTAGCAACCACTGCCTCTGTGCATCGACGTTCACTCTGCAACCGGGACTCCAACCCCAAAAACCCTAAGCCCAAGTCTCAAACCCGAAACCCAGAATCCCTGGTACGCAACGGCGGCCCAGGCGCCCATAACCTACACTCACCAATACTCCAAAGGAGCCGTGCATAAGCCATGCTAGGAACGGTACAGTAGTTCATGTAAGAACCAAGCATCCTATGGCTTTATTCTGTTTCTGCGCTCCTTCGAATCCTGCCACCTCTCTCTTCTTTCTGTGTTTCTCTCCCCATTCTGCCTCTGCCTCTTTCTCTGTCTCTGCCTCGCTGTCTATCGCTTTCTTTGCCTCCCTGTTTATGAAGCTAGTTCCTATATTTCAGTACTAATTTCCCTATCCCCTCAAACTCTGAACCCAAACCTCTAGCTGCCAAACCCTGCAGACCCTGAACCCTCAGCACAACATAGCTGAATTCGTCTCCCGATCTGGGGACCTCCACTCGAAACCAAAACCCTTCAAACTGCAAAGATGGACTTTGGGCTTAGGGTTCAGGGTTTAGGGTTTAGGGTTTAGGGTTTAGGGTTTAGGGTTTAGGGTTTAGGGTTTAGGTTTAAAGCCTGGCAGTTAGGGCTTCGGGTTTGGGGCTGTAGGGTGGTTGAGGCTTAGGGCTGAAGGCATAGGGCTACGGGCGCATGGGCAACGGACAGGGCACCTTGTTCCCCAGGCTGCCCGAGAGAGGCGGGGCCTTGTTGGTTCTTGGGAGTTGAAAGGTCGTGAGAAGCATCATTGGCTTAGGGTTTCGGGGTTAGGGTCAGAAGCAGCTCAGAAGCATCACAGTGTGAAAGCAAGTGAAAAAAGAGACTAAAGATCCCGGCATGGCGGCCCCTGACGATCGCAGCGCCATGACGCGTCGATCCGAAGTCCCGACTTGCTGCTGCCCACTCTGGGGATAATAAGAACCAGAACAATGATATTAATATGATGATGATCATGATAATAGGGCCTTGGGGTATATTATACTATAACTATGATGCGGGATCTCTGTTTTCAAGATGGTTTAGGGATGTTAAGGGCTTAGGGCTTGGTTTCTGATGGCTTTGCCTGGCGCTGCGGGCTCAGCATGCAGTGTGAGACAGAGCTTTTAAACCCCAAACCCCTAAAAACCCTCAGCCCCTAAACCCTATAAACCCTAAACCCCTATAAACCCAAGTCCCTAAACCCTAAACCCCATAAACCCTATAAACTCTAAACCCAGACCACTTTAAAGCCTCATAAAGTCGCTATAGGATTCCCTGGTCTTGGACATGGCTTCCTTTTCGGCAGCTTGTCGGATGGAGCCTTTTTTGAACCCCGGGAGCCTCCTGGAAGCCACAACGCTGGTGTGGGCCGACATGTTCCACGATACTTCGGCTTAGGGTTTGGGGTTTAGGGTTTAGGGCTTAAGAGGTTTAGGGTTTAGGGTTTAGGGTTTAGGGTTTAGGGTTTAGGGTTTAGGGGTTTAGGGTTAGGGCTTAAGGGTTAAGGGTTTAGGGTTTAGGGGTTTAGGGTTCAGGCTTTAGGGGTTTAGGGTTTAGGGGTTTAGGAGTTAGGCCTTCATGAAAACACTTAACATCGCCCTAGCCCCATGGCATGAGTCTGTGGGACTCTGAACTAGTAGTACTTACGGGAGTGATTGCTGTGATGATTGTGATTATGATGGTCATGAATCATCACTGATGATGATAATGATGATGACGAACAATCAGACCAGACAAAGAAACAAGGATGATGATAGTAGCGGTAAAGCAGCCACTATAGCCGTAAACTACAAAACGAATTCCAAAATCTCTGTGGAACCACTCACAGAAACCTTGAAGCCTCCTTTCAAGTTTCTCCAGCCCTTATACGAAGGCCCCTGCTCTTTAGCATCTGTGGCGATCTATGTGAAGCTGAGGCTTTGCATCTGAGATATGAGGTTTCTATCAGCCGCAGCCTCCACAGAACCTATCTCCAACAATGCCGTAGAGGTTCACGCCGCGATCAGATACAGTCACACCAGCTCCAACTACTATAGCAGCAAAGCCCTTTCCAACCATCGCTGAGTACGAAATCGCATGACCCGGCCTTCACCTGCTCATCGCCGAGAGAAATCCGGAAGTGGGACGTTTGCTCGACATGTCGGATGCCGGCTCTGACCTGTGCAGCCAAGGCCTGTGTTTCTGTCTTGAGCTCAGGGCTGTCCGGCCTTCAACAGCAGCCCATGGCTCGAGATGTGGCCCCCTCAAGCCGCAAACCTCTGTTCTTGAGGCTGACTACTCAACACTCATCCTTGAAGATTCCGAAACGGCATCGACGACAAGAAGAATCAAGCACAATGTGAAGACGGGTTCTGACGGCATGTGCCGACTCGGCTACGGGCAAGAGCCTGGCATGCGTCTGCAACACGGGCATGTCCATGATGGGCCTATTCTCCGTCGTTAAAACTTGTGATAGCAAGGACAGCAGGCAAGAAAGCTGCACGAAAAGGCCAGGTGGCTGCTGTCGGTCCTTTTATACCAGAACTGCAATCACAGCATGATTGCTGATCGTACTTACAGCGAGCAAGAGGAAGAACTCTGTAGTACGGCGCTGGAGTGCTGCCGCTGCAGCCGCAGCCGAGGCTACCAGGACGACGACGACGACGACCACCACCACCACCACCACAAGTGCCGCCACCCCCCTATCGACGCCAGGACAAGTACTGCGACCCGGATGCAAACTGGATTCGAAAGCAAGCTATCGAAAGGTCGTCAAGTAGCCGGATGGCCACCTAACACTGTCCTGAGACGGTCGGCGTATGGCTCACTCAGCTGATACGAACCAGTCAAAGCTCTACAGCTCCAACTTCTCGCATCAATCACGGCCGCCTGAGCAGCCTCCCAAGAATCAAGCTGGGTCTTTAGCTGCCGCATGCGTCACTGAATTGGTCAAGAACCGCACTCCTTATGCGCGTCGGCCTCGGAGTCCGACGTGCATAAGGAGTGCGGTTCTTGACCCACTCAGTGACCGGCACTGGTTTCACGCCAAGACTGTGTGATGATGTATAACCACCCCGGGTGGTGATACATCATCACACAGTCTTGGCTGCTCTCGGCTTCTGCTATGTCTGCTTCCGGCGTCAGAAACTCGATTCGGAGGGTGCTCGTCTTGTCGTGGATACAGCACCGCCCGAAGCTGGCGTTCTGCTGCTGGAAGAGTCGCGGGAACTGATACAGAGAAGCGTAGTCTAGCAAAAGCCACTCCTTTCCCGTAAGGGCCTTGGCTAGCTTGGCAACCTGGTACCCGTACGGATCACAGTGTTCCCGCGACTCCCAGCAATGGGACCGCGAGACTACCTGGGTGCCTTTAGGCGCCCTGCCATCGGCCCAGCCTGGGACCTCCCGACATTCACAACCGGCAATTCTTGCGGGGACAGTCAGAAGGACTTAGGGCCACCTCCCATGTCGTGGGCGTAACAGTGGGTGAGGTTGGAGGCTCATGCGAAAACAACTCCTCCTGGTGCGTCACAAGTGCCGTGCCGGCCGGCGTCCACATAGCGTGGGAGCCGCTGTCCTTCCCGCTGCAGCTTCAGAAGGAAGTCGGCTCGGACCCGGGGCCGCCAAGATCTGATCCGCTTCATCGGCGCCACTACAAACAAGACTATGACCATCCCGGCATTGAATAACAGCAACGATCGGCTGGCTGCAGACCTTTGCGAAGCTCAACCCTGCAGCTGCGGACAAGCCGGACGTCGGCGTCTTTGAGGAAGTCCGCCAGCCCCTGCTTCTGAGCCAGGTGGTAGCGCTTGGACTGGCGCGGGATTTGTTCGACATTGTCGCGGAGCACGCACGGAAACGCTCCGCCTCTAGCGTTTAGGGTTTAGGGTTTGTAGGGTGCAGGATTTAGGCTCCAGGGGTCTAGGTTTTAGGGTTTAGGGCTTAGGGCCTTCGATGAGTGAGGCAAGGCTCTTGTAAATAATACGTGGCTGTGTCGGATGCGTCATGAGGTGTAACGATTCGACGTCGACATGTCAGTCGTGAGCGTGGGGCACTTTGAGCCGAAGTGGCGGAGCAAAACGCTTTCGTAACCTTCGCTGACTATAAGGAGCCACACATGTCTGCCTCAGCCGGACGACTTTCGCCGCGTTAGTACGACATGCACTGAAGAGAAGCGGCAACAACAAAGTATAATGCATTAACGACAAAGAAGATGCCCACAAATGAGCTCAGGAACTTGTTCAAGCATGGCTTTGTGTGTAGTAAACGGAGTGTGTTCTTTGGAGCAGGGATGCACGGGATGTTCCTTTTTCGATGGGCCAAGGTTCAAGAGTCCTCCTCCTCGTCCACTATACTGTAGCTGCGAAATTATGGAAAAAGGCTTCCTCTGAGAGGCCGAAGCCAGCAATTGCAACATCTGAAGATCCACGTGCTGATCCGCACGTGATCTGCTCAGATCCGGAACTCACAGGCTACCCGGCTACCCAAAGCCAACCTTCATCTTCTCAGCGTGGGCCTTCACAGTCACGGCGTAGGAGTGAACCCCGCGGCCACACAGGCGGCCATGCACACGCCCAACGCAGAGTTGCAGGCAATGATTGCAGCAGGAGTGCCAACACCGGCAGTTACGGTGCCGAAGGTCGCTCCGGCTGCGGCGTAGCATGCCACGGCCACGGCGTTGCAGCCCGTCTGACAAATCCCATAAGCGAGAGGGCCTCCGTCAGCCACGCTGAGCTGAGAGATCAGGAGGACGGCAAGGAGCACCTCCGGGCACAGAAACTCAGACCTTCAGTCGCAGGTCTTCAGTTTTTCGATACTTAGTAGAGGAGGTTTCGGGGTATGAATATCATGGAAAAACCTATGGAATGTTTTCGGTAATGATGTATTCATTAATCTTCAAGATTAAAGCTGTTTGCGATTTGGAAGGTGGGACGTGGAGCTGAACTGAAGCTGGGCTCAGTTCCGCAGAGGGAGATCGGATGTTGCATGAAGCTTGCGGAGTAAAGCGGTTTTTTGGTTTTAGGTTGAGTTCACCTCTGTCCCTTACACTCCCGAAGCTTAACTCCTAGCTGAAGAGCTCTGAATCCCATCGGAATGGGAAGAAGCGATAATTCAAATTCTCTCTGAATACTCGAGACTCGTGTATCCGGACCCCTTCGGAACGGTTTAGGGCTTAGGTTTGGGAGTTTGGGGCTGAGGACTAAGAGACTAGGACTCAAGGGCTTAGGGCTTAGGGCTTAGGGTTTGGGAATCTAGGGTTTAGGGCTTCGCGTTTGGGGTTCAAGGCTTTGGGTTTGGGCATGGGGCCTAGAGGTTTAGGAGTTTAGAGGCAAGGGGATCAACCCTAAACCCTAAACCCTAAACCCTAAACCCCTAAACCCCTAAACCCCTAAACCCTAAACCCTAAACCCGGATCCCTTCCACCCACCTTGACAGCCATGCTGGGAGCTGGCTTCCCTGGGTGTGTCTGAGCTCTCACGGCTGCAGGGCAGTGGCTAGCCCAGTAACTACCTGCTTAAGGTTTAGGGTTTAGGGGTTTAGGGTTTAGGGTTTAGGGTTTAGTACCCTAGACCCTGGACCGTGCAACCTAAACCGAAACCGTTGCTGCTTGCCATGGTGCTAGCGTGATGCACGGTTTAGGGTTCAACCCCCCATGTTTAATAGCTTGGCGCTTGGTGTTTGCAGGGCTTGGGGGAGGCCCGAGCCACACACCTTAAACCCTAAACCCTTTAAGGGAACCCTTTAAGGGAAGCCTCTAAGCATCCCCTTAAGGGATCCCTTTAAGGAATCCTTTAGGGGATCCTTCAAGGGATCCTTTAGGGGTTCCTTCTATCCTTCAAGGGCTCCGTTAATGGTTCCTTTAAGGGAGCACTGCTTGCAGAAGGCCCTTCTTAACGCCTCGTCGATTTTGATCCACAGCATGCATCACCATGTCCTAGCCTCTCCCTGGCTCTACAGGGTGTCATGGGAGGAGGGCCCGGGCTTTTGGGATTTTGGGTCTCGGGTTGAGGGTTTAGGGTTCCGGCTTAAGGTTTGAGTCCAGGGTTTGGGGTTTAGAACCTGAGGCTTGCATGGTGGGCCCTAAACCCTAAACCCTAAACTCGCAGGACCTGGGATAGTTTCGCATTAAACCCTGCGCTGCCATCAGTAGCCGCACGCGCTGCCCAGCTTCTGGCGAACGCAAGGATAGTCCTCCAAGGTGCGCAACACCTTAAATCGACTCTCTCAAGCCCCTGAACCCTAGACGCAACACTCTGAACCTGAACAATAAGCCAGAAGCCCCTAAAACCCCTAAAACCCCGAAGCCCCAAACATCCCAAACCCCAAACCCGAAACCCCTAAGCCCGAAACCCTGAACCAAACCCTAAGCCCTAAACCCGAAACTCCTAAATTCGAGACCCTAAACCCTAAACCACGAACCTTCATAGTGTCACTTCCCCAACAGAGATCTGGAAGCTCCTCCGGTGTCCACTTCACCGGTGAGTCCATCAGCGCCTGAGCACCGGGCCGAAGATGAAAAAAAATATATGACAAGGTGAAGTGGGTTTAGGGTTTAGGGTTTGGGGTGTTTTTTCCAACGCCTTGATTTGTTCAACGCCTTGAACCGTCGGCCCTAGTTGAGGTGTCCGAAATGCCAAAGGTTTAGGGTTGGAGGGCTTACCGTTTGGGCGGTAATGCCCTGTGAAGAAACTTTAACGAAGGTGACTCGTCAGATGTGCTTGGTTGCGCCATATTACTTCCTTGGGTGTCAACCGATCGCTGCCCGACCACACACCCGCATTGGAAAAGCCAGGGCTCAGACGACCAGTGGCACTGTCACGCTCTTTGCATGTGCGTTGGCACGGCTGATCGCGGTTGTCACTGTCTAGTGACATCATGATGATCATGGTCCCTCAACCCCAAACACCAAACCGTAGGTACTGCTCCCCACCTGGATGTCCAGAAGCTTCCAGGTGTGCCGGACACTCCACGAATCGTTCCTCATCATCAAGCACTAGATACATCTCGGTTCAGGAAGCAAGGTTGCTGTCAGCCCAGGCATCTCAAGAATGACGGTAATCCGAACGGCACAACATGCTGACAATACGCATGCAAAAGGCAATACGATTGCGACACGGCCTCAGGCAATGGCAAATGCAAGATACAAGATCACCATCATGACAAACATAGCAAGATCTACGGACGTAGCCACAGCCCGAAGCAACCATCGGTCAACACACGCCAAGGCCGTCGTCATTATCGACATGCAAGCTGACAACTGGGCTTTCAGTGGCCAAGCGGCATTAGCAGGCCGAAGGACTCGTCTTCCCACCGCCTCTGAGCCACCAAAACTGTAGAAACTATCGCCAGGTAGAGACTAAGGACGAGGGTTTCGGGTTCAGAGTTAAGGACAAGAAAAAAAGCAGTAGCACTACAGTAAGAGTAAAACTCAAGAGACACGGAAATGGTAGACACGATACTCGTACGGTGACACGCAGGCAGCGTGGAAAAACTTATAGCACGAATCATGACGTAATGCATGAACGTCCCCTCATCGAAAATGTGCGCTCACTTTTCCGCACATCACCTATTTCTGTCGGTGGAACCCAGCTGCGACAAGAAGCGTCCTCTCTGCGTGGAGAGCTTTCTGACTGAAAAGTCGCAGCTAAGAATTGAAAACGATGGTTGCAGCCACATGGCCTGATTCAGAGCTCGTAATTGGAGCGACCACGTCTGTAATGATTCACTTCGAATAGAGCTCGCACATAGCCTTCTTCAGCGCTGCCGCATCTTTGCATCGGGCAGCAGCAGCTGACAGCTGCTTCTGCAACATCTCAACCTCGTCCACCTCATCATCCTCCTGGTCATAGGCGGCTTGGAAGAGGGCAATGACCTCGTCCTTGGTGGGCTGATGAGGGTTGGTCAAGCCACAGGCGTCCTTCATCGCATTGTCTGCCAAAGCAGGGAAGTGCTCCACCTTCACCTCTTTGAAGGCCTTGAGATTCCTCGGCTCTTCTTTAAAGGCGCTTTTCACAATGATGAGTTTCTTTCCGTGTGAAAAATATACCATACTAACTTCAAAAACGTGATGTCCCAGAAATCTGCATAGACTCTTCGGGATCTCGACCCTATTCTTCAAGTCCTTAATTGTTTTAAAACAATCCTTGATTGTTTTAACACAATCCGAGACTCTTGGGGATCCCGACCCTGTTCTTCAAGTCCTTAATGGCCTTCAGCACCTTCTTGACCGCGAGGTCCTGGCCCTAAACCCTAAACCCTAAACCCTAAACCCTAAACCCTAAACCCTAAACCGTCTTCTTGACCGCGAGGGCCTGGTCTTCTCCCACCTCGCTGAAGCCCAAGGCGACGGCAATGTCGATGAAGAGGTGCGGCACGTACTTCGCGTTGTACTCCTGGGTTTAGGGCTTATGAGTTTAGGGTTTCGGGTTTGGGGTTCAGGGTTTAGGGTTTAGGGTTTAGTGGTTTAGGAGCTTGGGGTCCAAGGCTGCGCTGGCCGAGATAAGACAGTGATATGCAGTAGCATGCAAAACAACGCCCCTGTGCGAGAACACTGGGACGTGATTCCCCAATAGAGCCCAGCCTGCACCGGACCCAGCAAAATGGCGTTGCAGACACCATGGGGTAGGTTGTACATTCCCCCCAACTGGTGGGCCATGGCGTGGACATAGCCCAAGCTGGCGGAGTTGAACGCCATGCCCGCGAGGAACTCGGCGTAGGCCATCATATCGCGGGCCTCCAGGACTGTAGGGCTTCAGGCTCTAGGACTGTTGGGTGTAGGCTTTAGGGTTTAGGGTTTAGGGTTTAGGGTTTAGGGTTTAGGGTACTCTAAACCCTAAACCCTAAACTGCCCTAAACCCTAAACTGCCCGAAACCCTCAACTGCCCTTAACCCTACCAAGGCTTTAGGGTGCAGTTCCTTCGCTCGCCTTTAGGTTTTTACCATCCTCCACGGCCGTGGGTAGGTAGGAGCTGATGAGCTTCCTGGGTTCTTGGTGAGGAATTTTACTGGGTTTAGGGTTTAAGTTAGGCTTTAGGGTTTAAGTTACCATCATAAGGAAACCCTATGATTTGGGTAGTTTTCTAAATTAGGGTCCCTTTGGGGGTCCTTTTTATAAGGGTGCCGTCCTATATTGGGGACCTTAAAAAAGGACCCTAATTTAGAGAACTACCCATTTAGTATAGAGCCCCATCTTGGCAATAAAAAGTAAGTTCCCTTAGCAAGAGCCCAGCTTCATGGCATGGAGGGCGCAAGCGTCGGTCACTGGGTTGGAGATGGTGCTCACATAAGCCTCGGGGGGGGGAAGCGGGTTTAGGCTTTAGGGCTTAGGGCTCATGGCTTCGGGCTTCAGATTTACTTGGGGGATCGGGCCCTGATCGGGGCTTATGTTAAGGCTCAGCCTCGATAGCGTGCGTGAGAGCATCCATTCCCGTCGCAGCAGTCAAGGATTTGGGCATGCCGATCATGGTCTTTGGGTCGTTCACGGCCAACGTGGGCGTAACTCGCCAGTCCACAATCGCCATTTTCACATGACGCTCCTCGTCGGTGATAATGCAAAAGCGCGTCATTTCTGCTCCTGTGCCAGCTGTCGTGTTGACTGCGACCAGGGTCAACATAGGCTGCGTGCTCTTGTCGACCCCCTCCATGGCCCGAATGTCACCACCATTCGTAGAGGTGATGGCGATGGCCTTCGCGCAGTCGTGCGGGGAACCGCCACCGAAGGAGAGGACGAAGTCGCAGCCCTCTTGCTTGATCATCTTCAAGCCAGCTTCCACCTTGGGAGTTAGGATTAGAGGGACCCTTTGGGGATATAGAATATAGACCCTCCTCTCAAGAAGGTCCCTTTTTTTAGAGAGCCAGCTCCACCTGGCTCACTGTCGGGTTCGGCTGGCAGCCGTCGTAGATCGCGAAAGTGATGCCTGCCTCGGTGAGCACATCCGTGGCTGCCTTCACTGCGCCGACCTTCACAAGCACTGCATCTGTGACGATCAACGCCTTCTTGTGTCCCAGAGCCTGGGTTTAGGGCTTCTTTCGTCTAGTGGGGCTTTAGAGATTAGGGTCGAGGGTTCAGGGCGTAGGGATCAAAGCCCCTAAAAATCCAAACCCCTAAACCTACACCCCCGAAGCTGAACCCTAAACCCTAAACTCCCAGTGCCTTGATTTGCTGCACCGCTCCACGGAGAGCGCCTTCTCCCAGCAACGACTTGCTGGGCATGAAGAAGGTGGTGCCTTCATCGCCCGGGCTCGTGTGATGGTAGTTCAAGCCATGGGCACCTTCAGTTATACCACAGTATATTATGGCATATTATGTTATACTACAGTATACTATGGTATCTTATAGCATACTATAGTATGGTATAGGATGTTACGGTATACCAATTACACAACAGTTCAGGCCATGGGCACCTTGAGTCGTGTGCCCTGCGAGATCCTTGCTGATCGCATCTGTCAGCTCCTGACTCGAAGTGCTCCTCACTGGCCCAAAACCCCAGGAAATAAAGGTTGAAACTTTCAGAATCGACGGGTTTAGGGTTTAGGGTACCCTAATACCTTATAAGAACCCCAAAAGTTGAAAAGTTGAGTTTACAGCCAACAAGGCTCTTGTAAATAGCATCCATGGCTGCCATGACCGCTTCCGCTGTTCTTCAAGGAAGCGTAACAAAAGAGTTGAGCCAAAAATCTCTCCAAAGATGCCCTAGACCCTAAACCCTCTCCAAGTCCTTTGCAGCCTCACAGGCGTTGTAGCTTGGCAGAGTCTTGCCTCGCAGCTTTCCTGGAGTTACCCTGACCTGACTTTCTTGTCCAGATGCCTGATGTCATGCAGAAGTTACACATGGTTGGCTCTCATTCACATCACTGAATCCTAAATCCTAACTTAACCCCTCAACCCGTATTATGACCCCCGAGACCCCGCCGCCAGTAAATCCCTAAATCCCGAACCGAAAAACATCCCGTGACCCAGAGCAAGAACCCTCAAAACCCTAAACCCTAAACCCTAAAACCCTCAACCCTACACCCTAAACCCTAAAACTCTAAACCCTAAACCCTAAACCCTAAACCCAAACCCTAAACGGTGGGCTACGCAGGCCAAGAGAAAGGTCCTCCGAGCTCGTGTCTCCTTCGTGTCCAAGCCTGAGGAAG